CGAATGAGAATCCAATCACTTTAAAATCCAAAATGGTTGCCACTTGTAAACATTCAAAATGTCTGTGCCCTCAGTCACTTTAAATATCCAAAATGGCCACCGCATATAAACATTCAAAATGGCTACACCCTCAGTCACTTTAAATATCAAAAATGGCCACCACATGTAAACAATCAAAATGGTTGGCCCCCCAGACAGCAGAAAGTCAATAGTTTAGGTTGTCTCCCTCCTTACTGTTTCCCTTCCTAGTCATAGGCCACCAGCGCAGTTGTCCCTGCAGCCCTTGGTGACAAGAACTGATCTTCAGGTCAATTCTTAGGTCCCAACACCACTTGGAAATATTCAGGCCCTTGGTCCCATCAGAGTAGCTAACAGTCCACAGTTCCAACTGTCTCCATACTCAGTGTTTTTGTTCAGGTTTTTCCACCAGTTGGTGCCTAATCCACTTCTGTTTAGTTCCTTTTAAAGCTCAGGGCTCCAGGATTATATTCTGTATCTCTGTCAATTGGTTTTTCTTTTATTTATTGAAGATGGTCTGTGTTGCTTGTCTGCCTATTCCTCCATCTTACCGGAAGTCCCTCCATTTCCAAAATCACCCCAAACAAACTCAGTACTTCTTGAACAATAGTTTCCCATTCTCCCCTCTCCTTAGCCTCTCCCTGCATCTCATCAATAGTAAACTTTTTTAAAAAATTGTAGTTTGGGTAAAATTTTACAGAGCACATTCATTTTCCATTCAACAGTTCATACACATTTTGTTTCATGACATTGATTACAATCCCTACAATGTAACAGCTTTCTTCACACTTCCTCCCTGTGGTTACCCTTTCCCTGTGTCTTTCTTACCTATGTATTCTTACCTCCCTAGCTTTCTCCTTGTGCAAATGCTGCCCTTCTGATTTCCCATGGTTAATCATTCTAGGGAGTGCATCTCCCTGGTGTAACTGTTCAGCTCATAGTCCTGTCTGTTGTTTGGCTGAGAGTCTAGTCATGGGAGTGGGTCCAATTCCAGGCCATAAGGGTGACTTAGAGCTCAGGGATCTAGGTTTATCTTCTGTATCTGTGTTATCAGTTTCTCTTTTCTTTGTTGAAGAGGGTCTGTATAGCTTATCTGCCTATTCTGCCATCTTACCAGAAGTCCCTGAGCTTTGTTTTGGGGTGAATATTGTCCTTTTGGTTTCATATGGTTAATTGTTTTGAGTAAATCCTCGTGAATGTCATTGTTCATTTATAGCTATATGAAAGCTTAAATTCTAAAGTACTGGTTTGTGGAAAGCTGCAGTGTGCAGCTGGAGCCCTGATTTCATTTTGAGTCTTGACTTAAATTCATGTGCCAATTGAGCTCTTTGTGTTACTTACCCAATGCTTGCTGGCTATTAAACCAACAATGTGGCTATGCTTAATTTCAGGCAAGCCTAGAGAACAGCAGTTTTCTTTCAGGAAGAGTGTGGTTGAGAGTAGATTAACTAGTATTCAGAAAGGTGCTCACAGGGAGGGAACTTGCCTGGACATTTACCAAAAATAGCCAATCAGACATATGTTACCTTTAAGTTAAAGGTCAGGGTCCTGGTATTGTCTTATAACTATGACTCAGGGTATGTCATACCCCAACCACCATGTAGCAGGTAATTAAAACCTCAGAACCAATCCTGTAAACTTTTAAACCTGTAATTATGTATGTATTCCAGTTGTGGTCCTTTTCCTGCTTCTGTCCTACCTTCAACAATGATGAATTGACCGGCCACTAGTCTTGATTTTGTGATAATTTCCTTTGTTCTCTATCATATATAATGAGCACCATGTCTGTGATTCAGCAGATTCCATTGGCTTATATACTGGTACATGCTGACAGTTTGCCTCATCTGTATAATTGTCTGTTTTTGTCTTTGTCTTGTTTAAGGCTTAATAAAAGGGCCTCTATAAAACATTTTAAGGAATTCTCATGGCAAAATGGTTAAGGCATTTGGCTGGTAACAAAAAGGTTGGCAGTTCAAATCCATCTGTGGGAAAAACATGAGGCAGTCTGCTTCCATAAAGATTTATGGCCTTGGAAACCCTACTGGACAGTTCTACTCTGTATTGTAGGGTCGCTGTCAGTTGGAATTCACTCAATGGCAATGAGTGATAGAACATTTTTGAATCTGGTGTCTTTTTACCTAGCACATAAATCTGTCTATTGTTTGGCTGAAAGATAGGGGTGGGTTCACTTCCAGGTTTGAAAGGTATCTAAGGGTCATGGTCTTAGGGATTCCACCAATCTCTATCAGACCAATAAGTCTGGTCTTTTTTATGCTTTTGAATTTTGTTCTACATTTTTCTCCCATTATGTCTAGGACCTTTAGTCTCAATCAGAGCAGTCATAGTGGTAGCCACTCACTAATAAATTTTTATATTGATGCATTTGCCTATTCTAGATGTTTCCTATAAGTGAGGTCATACAATATTTGTGTTTTTGTGACTGACTTATTTCACTTAGCATAATGTTTTCAATATATATATATATATATATATATATATATATATAAGTGAAATAAGTCAGTCACAAAAACACAAATATTGTATTTCACTTAGCATAATGTTTTCAAGGGAGCTCTGGTAGCGTAGTGCCTAAGGCATTTG